GAACAGCCCACAAGAGCTGCAGTTCTGGAGACACTCTGACAAGGGCCACATTGTGATGGCTACACGACTGGGTCAAAGTCGCTCAAATCCTCAGGCTGCCCATTTTCCCTGCTTCTAACACATCATCAACTTGAGGACAAAATGTTCAACTTCACCCAATGATTCACTTCACCAGTCAGTGGTCATAATGTTATGGTTGATCGGTGTATATTGTAAAGTGAAATTAAATTCTGACACTCAAATAAAAGAGAACAAAACTAACACGATTTTGACAGAAAAAAGTTAAATTGTACCCAAAAAGGAATGATCAAGAAAAAATAAGAAACCTGATAAGAATAAGAAGTAAATAGTGTTTACGCCAGCAGCTTATCAGATCTCAGGAATATCAGATACTCTGTTCCCCTCCAGGATGGATAGATGCCTCCACCTGTCCTCCACCCGCTTCCTTCGCTCTGTTTCCCCTTCTCTCTCCGATCCAGCCAAGTACAACTTTTTTGTTTTTCAATCACCTTTGGTGTACAGGGCAAGGGTGACTCTGAAACAGACACACATGGTGTGGACACCTTTTTCTCATCATGACTTACACTGTTTGCGTAGACAAGACTTTTAGTGTGTTTGTAGTGTAACCTGCCGGGAGTTTCATCACCCACTGATGTGGTGTCCTTGCACAAAACACTTGATTAACCAGACATGAATGGTTAATGTGGTTAAACAATGAATGGATATCTTGTCTGGAATCAATAAATAATTACAATAAAACCAACAGTGTCATCTCTTTAAGCCTATTACTTCCATTGAGCCTGAAACCCTCGATAATGCTCTTTTCATTAGCCTTTTTTCACTTCACTGAGCCTTTATTCGGCACACAAAAGGCCTTTTTAAAGTTCATACATTCACAACTCCTAAATATCGACGTCTGGATCCGTGGTACACCATGAGCTCATCCTGCTGCTCCACTGATACTGATAGCTACAACCGTTAGAGAGTAGTGATTGTACAATTACACTATCAGATGCCAATTTGTCAACACAACCAGCCAATTAGTGATCGATCTGGATTTCTGTGATCCTATTGGACTTGTGGTCCCTGATGATGTGGCACCGCTGGTTTCCAATGATCATCTGTCTTTGTCTCCATCTGTGTTTTTATGTACAGTATTATGGGCTGGAGGAGCTCCTGAAGGTGCAGGGGTATTTTGGATTCTAGGCTTTTATTTTCTTCAGCACAGTAATGGTGACTCTGTTCACAGCTGTCTCCTCATTTTTCTTTGGACTGTTACTGTCATCTCTTTCTATTTTTAGTTTGCAGCATCGTGCTAATCAGCGACAAGAGCTGCATGCTCTGCATGACTCTGGTTGTGTGGGTATGATTAAGATATGTGCTTCTCTTACAAGACAGCGTTATGTCCATTCTGCACTTAATGATAATGATATGTGTGTTCTACAGGGGCATCATTAACCCGGTGCCAGCCACAAAGAGCAGTCGGTCATCCACGTTACAGTGCGTCCACGTGGCAGAGGGACACAGTAAAGCTGTTCTCTGTGTCGACTCCACTGATGACCTTCTCTTCACTGGATCCAAAGGTTAATACCACCAGTCCTCCTCCCTCTTTTCACATCCTTACTCTAATTTGTCTCTGACGGCCACAAAAATAACACATAATGGCTCAACCATTTGTGGTCAGCTACATATAAAGAGGACAAATTACCTGATAACTAGTTTTAAAGCAAAAGGATTACATTTTACAGACTGGTGCAGCCACCCATAGGACCCGGAGCCTCCTCCTCTAAACTCGAAAACATTGTAACTAAACTAAGAAACTAAGAAACAGAGAACTGAAAACCTGACCTCCATCCTCAAAGAATGAAACACAAAAATAAGGAGCAAAAGAAGCTAAATCTGATGGGATCAGCAGGCTGTTTTGTTTGGGTTTGCTTTTGAAGCCTCCCTAAATATGCATCCAGGGCCGCCAACTAATTAATTCCCAATGAGGAGCAGAGAGAGAGTAAATAGGAGCAAAAGTAAGGAAAAATACAAAGGGGAGCACAGAACAGTCTCTCTCTCATCAGTATTCTTCACATGTCTGCTTGTTGCGTCACTGGTAATTTATTACATTTTGTTATGCTGTTAACAAGCAAATAAAACCTGACAGAGATTAATTAATATTGTCAAGTGCATGGTATGTGGATAAATGAGGTGATGAAATAAAATGACATTGTACATACAGTAAAACTCTTATGGTGAAGGAGCCTTTTATGATAATAAATTGAGATATTGGCAATCAACTAGATTGAAGAGCTCATTTATCCCCATAGAGCTTCTGTTACTGTTGCTCCAGTTTTGACATCCTCAGCATGCTTCTTGTGTTTCTAAATGCGTAATAAATGGTGATAGAGATTTACTGTGTGTTCTCCTGCAGACCGGACCTGTAAGGTGTGGAATCTAGTGACGGGTCAGGAGATAATGTCCCTGGCCGGTCACCCCAACAACGTGGTGTCAGTCCGCTACAGCTCCAGTTTGGTCTTCACCGTCTCCACCTCCTACATCAAAGTCTGGGACATCCGGGACTCAGCCAAGTGCATCCGAATACTAACGTGAGTGTGGCCGTCTCAGTGCATTTCAGGCTGCAGTCGGAAATGCCTTTTGTCCACGACCTTGCGGGAAATGTTGCAGAAGGAGCGCTATCTATTAAAGTTGAAATTGAAATCCAGCGTGTAATACTGATGAGGATCTCTTTGCAGAAATGGAAGATAATATTGATAACTTTTCATTAGTGTGTAATCACCTGGAAATAAGTTTTCCTAGACCCCTGATTACTTGATGCAGATTCATAAATGTTCCATACATATGTCTTTAGGTCCTCTGGTCAGGTTAATGTCGGGGATGTCTGTGCGTCTAACACCAGTCGGACTGTCACCATCCCAGCCGGGGAGAACCAGATCAATCAGATCGCTCTCAACCCCAACGGGACGGTTCTATACGCCGCTGCTGGAAACTCAGTCAGAGTCTGGGATCTGCGAAGGTAAGCAGAGGAGTTACATTTATATAACTAGGAATAGTTCAGACGGTTACACTGCATATTGACCATTTGGGCTTTTGACAACTGATCTTGTGTTTGATGTTTTTGCCAATCTAGTGCTGTGGTTTTAGGGATGACACTTTGATCTTTAGTAAAATATCTTAATAATGGATTGTCATGAAGTTTTGTAGATTTAGTCATTATCCTGAACTGAGTTTGGTTATCCCTTGATCAAAATTTTTGGTTGTCATGAACATTTAAGGTTCAAATGTCATTTTGTGTTCTTAAATGTACTTTAAGATTAAAGGCTAAATGTACATGGAAAATTTGTAAACCTTTGGTATTTTTACCATTTATTATGTTTGAAATTCAAGATCTGTTGTATAATAAGTATATAGTAATTTAATCATTGCTAATGATTTGTTCCATTAAAGAACATAATTGTTACTTGGAAATTACTCTGTGTAACATTACACTGAACAGTTGCCTAATTTCCTACTATATATTGTTGATTTTGTTTTTTGAAGTCAAAATATTTATAAAATCAAACTTTATATCTTTGTATTGTGTATTCAGATTCAGTCGTTCCTGAAACAATGCTGGCAATGATTCTCTGCATTTTTACTTTGTTCATTCTGATACCACTGCAGCGTTTTCAGAGGCATAACACACTGAGTTAATTCAAAGCCCAATTTCTTTTCGCTGCATACTTGAATGATCCGATTCAGTGTGACACATGACAGGTATCCAATCTGAAGCTGTCATCCATCATTGACAGCCAGCTAGTATATGTTTAGATGAATTGCCTCTTTGTTCCTCTTAGAAAATAAAAGCTCAGTTGATGAGCAGTTTGGCTGATTGAAATATCAGTATGCAGTGGGATTTAAAGCTCTGAACTCTGAGTCTGGGAGTGAAATTATTGACTGAGCGTGAGCGTGCATTTATATTTTCTCTCTTTGTCAGATTTGCATCCACAGGGAAACTTACTGGTCACCTCGGTCCAGTGATGTGTCTGACTGTGGATCGGTCTGGAAACAACCAAGACCTGGTGATCACCGGGTCCAAGGACCACTACATCAAGGTGCGTTTCCTGTGCCTCTTTGTATCTTCTATTTACCCCAGCACATGCTCTGGGATTAGCATAATGTTCCTGTGAGTCCAGCTCAAGAAATCAAAAGATTAGACATATTATTATAATGTATTAAATGATTCAAGCCTTCATTAAATGTATTCATTACAAAATAAGGACAGTGAAAGTTACTCAAGCATGTGAGATTAAGCATGCAAAATGAAGAGTGGCTGTAGCTTTAGATTTCACAGTAAAAGCCATAACAAAGCAGTGTAACACATCATAACGTGCAGTGTTCTGGTTGTTGCAGCTGTTTGATGTGACCGAAGGCTCTCTGGGTAGCATCAGCCCAACGCACAACTTTGAACCTCCACATTACGACGGTATCGAGTCACTGGTGGTCCAGGGAGACATTTTGTTCAGCGGCTCTCGAGACAACGGCATCAAGAAGTGGGACCTGGACCGCAAAGACTTGCTGCAGGTACTGGATGAGTGAGATGAAAGAGAGAAAGAGGGAGAAACTGTCAGTCATTTATGAAAAGCTTCTAATAAATATTTAGAGATGACAGTAAATTGAAACCATCGATTTTTCTCTCCAACAGCAAGTCCCGAACGCCCACCGTGACTGGGTTTGTGCACTGGGTGTTGTCCCGGGGTCCCCGGCCCTGCTGAGCGGCTGCAGAGGTGGGGTGCTCAAGCTGTGGCACACGGACACACTGGGGACTCTGGGGGAGCTGAAGGGTCATGAGAGCCCCATCAACAGCATCTCTACCAACAGCAGCCACCTGTTCACCGCCTCCGAGTGAGTCTCATCCCAACCAAACACACACTGTCTATGTCTCTATGTTCCTAAGTCCCTGCTTTGGCTTTAGCTAGTTTTAGGAGAAATGTTACGACTCTTGGACTCTTTTCTATACACTAAATTTGTTCATTGACTTAGATCATATGCTGCACAGATATGTCCTTGGTAGATTGATCCACAGATCCACATCTGACACACACCAACATCAACTGAGGCTTATAAGCCTTTCTCTTCCCTACAGTCTGTTTATAGTCCCTTGCTATTTTATTATGGAAGATTCTGCTCAGATTTACAGATTTTTTTTTTTTTTGTGTTCTCTGTTAAAAGCATCAAATCAATCACTGCAGCTTGGATGGTGTGTTCCTAAATTGCAATGTAAAGCAGCAACTGAGAGCATATAGTACATCAGTAGTATTGGCTGTCAATGAAAAGAGAGAAAAATGAACCTAGTGATCCTCAATCAGAGGATCCATCCTTGACTCTGGTAAGGGTCAGGAGGTTGAATACATACATATTGATCACTGCTTTGTCAGTGCTGTCAGGTTTTCAGTTTCAGTAGAACGTGGCAACCTGAGAAGCTTTCTTTTCATTTCTCTTAAATATATTCTCTTCCTCAAAGTAAAACCCAAACATAATCTAGCCAAATATACTGTATAGCATATGTAAGTAAATCATATAACCAGGGTTACAAAGTGCTTCACAGTTACAAAAATAACAATAGAGAGTTTTTGAATAAATTTGTAAATCAAAGGCCAAAATCTTACTGTTTCATCTTCCTGTCTTCCAGTGATCGGACTGTGAAGATCTGGCGTGCACGTGGTGGACTAGACAGCACCCTAGAGGCGGTTGACAATGCGGATGAAGTGGCCAGTAACTAAATCCTCGACTGCTGGGTTTGACTTTGGAAGGACGCTAACAGCATCTTTTGATGCTGCTGCCCTGCACTTTGACCCCTAACTTCTCAAGCCCAATGCTGACTCCTAAAACACATACCTTCTATGCCATGTAACCTTTATGACTGAGCCAACAGGATTTAATCTCATCTCAACAGAAAGTAATTCACACTCATTCTTTTCTTAGACTCTGTATGCTCAGAGAGTCATGCTAATCAGTTGTAGTTTACCGCATTGTTAATGACTCTTTGCAGCATAAACCTTTTCTCTTTTGCGCTGTAAACGATACGTCACTGTTGACCATGATAGGAACTTGTACTAACAAGACTTTAGTTCAAGAGTTGAACACAACAAACACACTCATAGAAATTGCTGCTCAGCTGTGTTCAGTGCTGTGTCAGGATAAAGTACACCTGCAGGCACTCAATTACACACAAATAGGGTAGCAGTGTGTTTTGTTAGATCAGAGATAAATAGACAGAACGTTGAGTGTCAGAGGAGAAAAAGGCGGCAGAGCTAACGGGTTGTTAGCTGGTCTTCACAACCCAGTGCTCTGCTCTCTTGGGATTGTTGAGATTGTTCCTCTGCACTCGAAGCAGAACCAGTGTCCCCGCGCTCCCTCCCCCCAAAATAACAAAAGTGGCTTTACTGTTTGTGAAAAAGACAAATCACCGCTCCCCTTAACTTCCCCTTCTTGCTTTTGTGCTCCTCCCTCCTCAATTTCTGCAGCTGTTTAAGATCAGCGACCAAAATTGTGCAAACTTGTCGTCTTTGCTGTCCTGCACTGCACTCGTGAAAATAACAGTAACAGTTCCACTGAAAGCAAAAGTTCAACATTTAGGAAAATATGTTTATTTGCTTTCTTGCTGTGATTTTGATGATATATTTGTTGAATATGAGACTACAGCTAGCATTTAGTTAGCTTAGCTTAGCATAAAGACTGGAAGCAGAGCCTCCATAGCCTTACTAGTTAACAAGTTATATGTTTAAAATATAATAAAAAAGGGTTAAATTGGTTCAAACTTGTTGTTTTACAGGGGATTATGTGAGGGACTATTTTTTCGGGGTCTTTCAGTCCCAGTTTTATTCTTACACATTTTTATATGAATTAGAAAAAGTAGCACAGAGTTGATTAGCTGCTGCTTGGCAGATTTTGTTACCTCTCTTTTTTTACCTTTTGCTAAGCTAAGCTAAACGGCTGCTTGCTGTAGCTGGTATCGATCTTCTCATGTAACTTTTTGGCAGAAAGCAAATTAGCGTATTTTCAGAAATGTTAAACTATTCCTTTAACTCTTGAGCACTTGTGAAAACCGACACAATGGGTCTTTGATACACTTAATCCTTCTTAAATGTGAGCAGGTTCAGCGTTTGTATTCTACACTTGTCCATGTTTCATCTCATGTAAAAACCTATGTTCACTCTTTACGTCGCAGTTAGCACTCACTAAACCTACACTACTGAGTTGTCGTCGAACTCCCATGCTGCTAAGTTGTGTGATCACCTTCAACCCCTATAAGAGGGCTTCTTGTTATGGACTCTGGGTGAGGTCCGCTCAGTACAGACAATGTGTATGTATATATGTGTACTAGTATCTTTTTGTTTTTGGAGAGGAGAGGCCTTCAGACTCTGCCCGTGTTGTGAGCCTAATCACGTCGACTGACGTCTGTCTCCCTGTTCTGATGCTTGCGGGGCCTTCCTGGAGACTCTCGTGGTCTCCCCTCGTGGTCTCCCTGATGTAACCGATCTGTCTGTTTGTGTGCTGTCACTTTTGAATGTTGGGTGAAACAGCAGTTGTAGGCATTATTCGATCACATATCCAATGTATGTAAACAATGTATTTTAAAAAAAATCGGACTGAATGTTAGTTTTGTGGGACCACCGATCTGAACGTAGTCTCACACGAGAGCCGAGAGGACCAGGATTGGCAGAAGATTCACGAGCAGTATTAAAGCTTTTGACAGAGCTTTTCCTCCAAGGAGGTTGCAGGTTATGTGTAGTGGCCTATGGTTAGTTTTTTTTCTTTGTTTTGTTTGTCTTTGTTATGCTGTCCCTGTTCCACATATCCTGGGCGTTCCCCCTCTGGAGTTTTAGTAGCCATTCTCAAATGGCGGACTCTGTAGCGATTCTAATGTCAGATGCCTGGTGGGAATAAATGCCATCTGTCAAAAACAACTGTGTTTTTTTTCATTCTATCAGTCATTTAAAGACTGCTGTTACTATATCCACAGGGTGGTTACTTCATACTAATATCTACAGTTAAATGCGTCATTTGTTATTCATAATTTAACTTTAAATCCCCCTATTTAGCATTTACAAGCAGTTTACACACATTTAATAAATGGTTTATAACCCAGTGTAATACAATGACCAGAAGATGTGCAAATGATTAGCATTTATGTGCCCACACAACCTCAGAATCAGAAATACTTTTATAATCCCTGGGGGAAATTAACTCTTCTAACACCTCTGAGTTCTTTGGTTTAATCTCCTGCTCTGTTTCCTTTTCATATCTGTGTGCTGTGGGTAAAGAAACCAAAGTGAGGAAAGCGGTATTGCTGTCAGATGTTTGAGGTGGTAAAAATGACCACAAGGTGGCAGTAGCTGCACCTACAGCACTGACCAGGAACAGTGTAATCAGAGCTGTCAACCAAAAATACTTTCACTGACATTTTAGGCCTTTGGCTAATAAGGGAAACCATATAATAGCCTATCTAGATTCTTCCACTGACAATCCCCTGATTAACGCAGTGGGAGGCCCCGGGGCAAAAATGAGCTGTCGTCCTTTACACCATTTAAATGTTGTCTCTGGCACACTCTACAAGACATTGTCATTATAGTTGTTAGTATTAGTGCTGTATCTTCCCAACAAGTTTTCAATTTATTACCATTATAGACCAGCTGACATAATGAAGATGGAGCTGAACCCTGAGGGTCTGGAGCCTGGAGGCTTTGCCCGGTTGGTAATCCAGCCTCACTGACAATATTACAGGCAAAGATCAAAAAACATGTGTAACTTTAGTTACTGTACAAATTACATCTTGATTACTGTAATTACAACTTACAACAAAAATAGTAACTAAAACTATTTTACTAGCAATATTTCTGCTATATTATTTTGGACTGTTGCTGAGTTCAGTTTTCAGTGGTATTTTTTATGTGTGATACATTCCTCGTACCATAGACCCAATAATACCAACTCAACCCAGTCCAGACTTCACTAACGCGGATATATTGTATCATCTCCATTTGAATTAATAATTATGTTGATACATTTTGTTCAGGCTAGTTTTGATTATATTTTAGCTATCTCCCATCTCTGTACATCTCCGACACATATTTGTCTTTACTTTAGCAAAAAGTTGCCTTCTAGACTTGCATTCATGCAATGGCTAATAGACACAAGACATAACAATGCATACTATAATGATATAATATTGCATTACTTTTATTCCAATTTAAGTGAAAGAAAGAAGAAAGAAAGAGTAAAAAGAAAATGTAATAAACTATATCTGGGCCCATCACTGGAAACCTTATGTATCCATATATCTACCCCAGTTCCTACACATTTAGTCCAAGTTATGCTTCTCTTTTTAAATAACAAACACATTGTTAGTGTTTTAGTTTGCACACTGCAAAGTGTATGTATACCTATATATATCTATGGAAAAACAAACACTGTTACCAGCTCATATGTTGGGATGCTTTGACTCGACATTGAGAATTTCCTACATCTAACCCTTATCTATGCTGAGAAAATGGGTGGATGCAAATCTCGACAGTTAATAAATTTGCACATCTGCCAAATAATGCATCCTCACTGCAATTTTATTTCTACAGATCACTTTAGCTCTGCATGCTCCCGTGAGGTTCATGCAATTATTGGCGGGCAGGCAGAACAATCCAGTCAGCTAAGCTTCTCTTCAAAGAGTAATATCTGAGACTGTATCAGAAAGTTCCAGCTTCTGTGACAGCTTTTGGCTTGAGACTCTTTTCCTTTTTAGCAGCCAAACTTGCCTTGGCGTTGAGGTGCTTCCCACAGCTGTGTCCAGAGCGGTATTCAGTGCTGGTCAGTAATTCCATGTTAGAAGCCGGTAAAAAGAGCACATACGTTATTGAAGAACGCAAAACACATTTTCCATCAGGGGACCTAAAACCTGTTTAACAAAAACTTGCATTCAATACATTTAATATGTCTTGATGCAGAATGACTGGTGTTTGAAAATGAGTATTGATCACTTTGATATTGATGTGGTCCTCCGTAGTGTGGTGTGTGTTGCCTGCAGTTCATTACATACAACTACACCCAGTCGAATATATTTCATCTGCACAGTAATTAACTTCTTCAGTGATGTTTGCCTTCCAGTCAAGTTCTGGGAAATTCTACATAATCCGTATCGGAAGTAATTTATTAAGAGCCAGGCCACATGGCTGAAATCAATAACACAATGTTTTAGAATATGTTTCCGGTGCTGATGTAGATCAAGACATGGTTAAGGTGTGTGTTTGAAATCATCACACTGATGTTTAATCCAGTGTACTGTTTTCCACTTTTAACACTTATTTTTATATATTTACTTTTATTCAGCAAGAGTTTCATAGTTTTGTTTTAAAGGTCCAGTGTGTAACATTGAGGAGGATCTATTGGCAGAAATGGAATATAATATTCATGTTTTCATTAGTGTA